GGCCGCCAGCACCAGAGCGCACGCACTTAACCGCTAAGCCACGGGACCGGCCCTATCATATGTCTTATATCCAGTCGTATAAATCCTCTAGCTTTGTTCTTCAAGAGTGCCTTGGCTATTCTTGGCCCTTTGCATTTCCACGTGAATTTTAGAATGAGTTTGTCAATTCCACAAAAAAGAAAACCTACAGGGATTTTTGACTGGGATTATGGTGAATCTACGGATTAATTTAGGGGGAATAAATCCTTTTCTAATATTGACTCTTCCAATTCATGAATATGATATATCTCTGCATTTCTTTTTCTCTTAACATTTTTATTATGAAAAATTTCAAACATACAGAAAAGTGGGAAGAATTATTACAACGAATTCCTATATGTTCACAGCCTGGATTTCATAGTTGTTACTCGTGTATTTTATTTGTATCATATATATACGTATACAGTCATGCATTGCTTAACGACGGGGATACATTCTGAGAAATGCATCTTTAGGTGATTTTATCATTGTGCAAACATCACAGAGTGTACTTATACAAACCTAGATGGTACAGCCTACTACACACCTAGGCTGTATGGTGCTAATCTTATGGGACCACCATCGTATATGTGGTCCATCGTTGACTGGAATGTCATGATGCAGCACATGACTGTATATATATAATTCTTATTAAACCATTTCTTAGTAAATTATAGACATCATAGATGCTTTACCCATAAAAACTTCAACATATATCCTCAAAATCCAAGGACAGCCTTGTGCATAAGCACAATTCCATTATCACATCTAGGAAAATTAATAGTTCCCAAATTTTGAATCTATAGTCATTTTTCTCCAGTTGCCCTCCAAATGTCTTTTGTTGCTGTGTTTTTTGTTTTTTGTTTTTTTTTGCTGAGAAAGATTAGCCCTGAGCTAACATCTGTGCCAGTCTTCCTCTGTTTTGTACGTGGGACGCCTGCACAGCATGGCTCATGAGTGGAGTAGGTCCATGCCGGGGATCCGAACCCGTGAACCTGGGCCACCGAAGCAGAGCGCACAGCACTTTAACCACTCAGCCACGGGGCCAGCCCAGTTGCTGTGTTTTGTTTTGTTTTTCAAAACAGGATCCAATCTAGGATCATGCATTACATTTGTTTACGTCTCCTAAGTCTTTCTTAATTTAGAACCATCTCGGCTCTCTTTTTGCAAGTGACACTGACTTTTCTTAGAGATCAGGCCAGTGGTCTTCTATGTGTCCCCCCTTCTGGATCTGATTGTCTCCTCATAGCGTTGTTTGCTTTGTCCCTCTGTCTCCTGAACCTCCGGGGAATTGGAACTGAGATCAGGGCGTGAGCAGATACAAATAAACCTCACTCGGCCTTCCTGGGGCCTCCTCCTCTGCTAGCCCTCCTCAGAGTGGCGTCAGGCCTGCAGTGTGTGAGCCGGTGTGGAAAGCCTTAGCGCAGTGCTTGGCACACAGCAGGTCTCAGCGTGGGGTAGCTCTTCTTAGTATTTGTCCCCACCTTAGGCCAGCATTTTACCCAATGATTGTTCTCCAGAAACAGCTTCCCTGAGCCGTCTCCTGTCCCAGCCAGGCAGCAGTGGCTTCCCCCTGGCTGGGGCTCCTAGCTCTGGGCTTGGACATCCCCCGTCTTTCTCTCTTCCCACCCTCAGACAACACAGGCAGTTCCACGTACCGGCCACCGCCTCGGACCCGGGAGGTGATGATCAATGGGCAGATGGTGAAGCTGAAGTATTGCTTCACCTGCAAGATGTTTCGGCCGCCCCGGACCTCACACTGCAGCGTCTGCGATAACTGTGTGGGTGAGTGGGAGGCGGCAGGGAGGGATACGGGGAGCCCTGAGAGAGACGGAGCCCTGGAGACAGGGGAGTCACTCTTGGGGGTGGGGGTTGTGTCTGAAATATCCAGGGCTGGTTCACCCAGATTTGCTCTGACTGAGGAGGGACCAGGGAAGAGGCTCTGAGTGTGACCAGTGGTGTCTTGGTTTCAGCCCAGGATTAGTGCATTCTTTCCCCCTAGCTCTGAAGTGTGGGGTAGACACAGAGAGGCCCTGAACTCTTTTCCCAGGCCTCTGAGGGTCCAAGTTCCCAGTAACCAGAGACTGGAGCAATAATATTCTAGATACAGTTGGGCTAGCAAGAGACTGATTTACCATCCAGTGGCCCAGGGCCAACTATACTGAAAGACTTTGATCTGATTCCCAAGGTTTGGGAGGGACAAGAATCTGGGAACAGAGGAGTTTAAGCTGGTGAAGTGGAGAGGATATAGCCAGGCTGGGAAGCTAAGCTCCTGACCCACAACTGCAGTGGTCACTGGGGAGTCAGAGGCCGTTTTGTCCCCTCTCTCTGCTCTCCAGAGGCCTGGCAGCTCTGACAGGGACCAAGGGTGTGCCCCTAGGAGGGTGTCATAAGGGAAACGCTATACGAGAGGACCCAGGGGAGCTGAGCCACGGTGACTGTGCAGTCCCCAGGGTAGTGAGCTCATTGCGCTAGCTCAGCGCTCCCTGAGCAAGAGAACCATGGGGAACACCCCGTGACAGCAGGCAGAGAAGTGGGTGATTCAGTGGGCGTCATTCAAGCCTGAGAATCTGCCCCACCCACCCCCTGTGAAGGGCGCTGGTCTTGGCGTGAAGCCTGCAACGGGCTTGTGACCCACATTCCCACAAGGGACTTTCTTCTCCAGTCTGGGTGTGACCCCACACCTGGTGACATAGCGCTGGGGTGAGCTCAGTCTCTGACTGGCCCCTGATGCCCGTTCTCCACGTGTTCTGTATGTAGCAGCCCAGCTGTCCCTGGGCAGCTAGTTTTAAAGCAGGGCACAGGGATCGTTGGTTGTTGACATGTGGCCGGGGTTGGAGGCCAGACGACAAGTACTTTTTGTGTATCTTCTTTGTACCAGGCACTGCTGGACCCTGGGATTCAGCTCTGTGTGAGGCCAGCACAGGCCCCTCATGGAGCTTACAATCGAGCAGGGCTCATTGGCCAGTCCACTCATTATAAATAGGTGTGTAAACACACATGGGCAAAGTGCTGCAGAAGATAAGGGCCAGGGCAACAGGCAGGTAGCAGGGGCCCTCCCCTTGTCTGGAGTAGGAGGAGACTTTCTTAAGGAAGTAGCTTTGCAGCCAAGATGTGAAGGAAGAATTACCCTCAACCAGGTAAAGTGACAAAGAGACGGGGACGAATGTGTCAAGCAGTGGGAACCAGTGCGCAGAGGACCAGAAGCAGGAGTGTCCGAGGAACTGAGGGTCGGCTGGTGTGGCGAGAATGAGTGGGTAGGAAGGCCCCAGCTGTGGCGTGAGGCCTCCAAACACCTGTGCTGGCCATAGGCCCAGCCGGCACTAACCCATCTCCTCTGGTCCTTTTCCAGAGCGGTTTGACCATCACTGCCCCTGGGTGGGCAACTGTGTGGGGAGACGGAACTACCGCTTCTTCTATGCGTTTATTCTCTCCCTCTCGTTCCTGACGGCCTTCATCTTTGCCTGCGTGGTCACCCACCTGACACTGCGTGAGTTGGGCTGGGGGCAGGGGCGAGCAGGAGGAGCTGGCCAGCAAGCCCAGCCAGGTAGGTCAAGGGGCTGTGGTCACTGTCCCTCTGAGCCGTGCCCTCTCCTGTTTCTTCCCCCCCAGGCTCTCAGGGAAGCAACTTCCTCTCCACTCTGAAGGAGACACCAGCGAGATATCCTTTGTGGGCTAGTGGAAACCCTGGTGGGAACCGAGGCCCCTTCACTGGGGCGGGTGCCCACACCTCATCCTGTAAACAGAGGGGAATGATGTAGAACCAATGTTTGTTCTCTAGAATCCCCTATACCAGCTGTTCTCTTCATGCCCAGGTGAGAGCTCATGGGCTGCTGTGGGGCTGGGGTGGCCGAGAACTCTCAGGATCCTCAGTCCCTGTCTTCCCTTAAGACACCGAGCTCCCTCGGCTCCTCGTGTTCTTGAAGTGGGGCTCCTGAACCCGCCTTGGGGTCCAGGAGGTGTTCCTGCTGAGAACTGGTGACTGGGCCACAGGAAGGTTACAAACTTATTTCCTTTCTGGGGAAATAGCTGCATGGAAGGATAGGTGAGAGAGGCTGGGTGTGGCCAACTCCCAGTGCAGGCGAGGCTCCCAGCCCTGATCCCGTGGGGTCCTTGACTGCCCTGTTCACTGTGCTGGAGTTGGTGATCTGCTTCTTCTCCATCTGGTCCATCCTGGGCCTCTCAGGGTTTCACACTTACCTCGTCGCCTCCAACCTGACAACTAATGAAGACGTGAGTAAGGCTGGCGTAACCCCTCATTGCTGGGCAGGATCCTCAGAAGAGGGCAGGGCTAAGGGAGCCTGGAGCAGCCCCAGGGCGGCCCTGACTCTCGGACTGCTGGAGACGTGGGTGGAGACATCAGGCAGCCAGACATCTCCTTCCAGTGCTCACAGCTCGGCTCTGGGAGACCCCGTGCAGGCTTCTGAGGCCCCCACATGCCTTGGCCCCTCGGTCAGGCTCCTGGGGCCCCCAGGTCACCTTCTTCCTAACCCCACGGGAGCAGCACTCACAGCATGACAGTTGTTACATGTGGCTCGCACATTACCGTTTCCAGAGTTCTTTTAGTTCCCACCATCTCTTGGGGTCCTTTTGCCAACTCTGAGGCACAAGGAACAGGGATGCTTTTTCTCCAGTTGATGGCCGAGTGACTTGCTCCACGATCATACAGCTGGAAAGGGACAGAGCCAGGGTTGCGCCCAGAAGCCATGGCTATACTCGCTGTGCCCCACACACTGCACTTGTGGGCAGCAGAGATGTGACTGTTCTCAGTGTCTCTGGGGCTCCCTGAGGCCTCCTTGTTGAGGAGGGGCAGCCAGGACGGGACCAGGAGTCTCCATCGACCCTCCCTACCTGCTGCCTTGCAGACCTACAGCAGTAAGCATTGTTTGAGCACCCTCTGTGTGCCCCGCCCTGGGCCAGACCTGACCTCCCCTTCCTGTCCTCCCAAACAATAAAAAAGCAAAGGAGAACATCTGGTCCAGGGCCTGCCATCTGATACTGCTCAGAGGCCCATGGACCAACAGAGAATACATTCTTTGACCTCAGCCTGTCATTCAGAGAAACAAAACTTAACACATGATGTGGGATCTTGTGCTAGGTGATTGGTACGGAGTGGAAATGACATCAGCCAGCATCTCCCAAGGTGGTTTCCCGGGTGCTATTCTGCAGGATATTACTAGGGTTTAATAAGCAAAAAGGGGTGTTATGGCCAAATAAGTTTGGAGAACTCTGGGTTAAAGTCATGCAGGTATCCTTTACCACTGAACTCCTCTGTGCCTTCCACAGCTGGCTCCACAGAGCTAGCAATGGGCAGGATTTCATCTAACGCCCCAACAGCACTTTCAGCGAGTTCCCTGTTCTTCAGCTGAGGATCGAGACTTGGAGAAGTGGTGATCTGTCCAGGGTCATGCAGTGAGTCAGTGGCAGGGCCAGGATTCACAGCCAGGTCAGCCTGAGCCCTGTGCCCTTGTCCTACCCCACCTCTTAGGTGGCTGACCAGAAGAGGGAGGAAGTACCCAAAAAGTTTCCTTTTGAGGCTTCTCTTTGGCTCTTCTCTGTGCTGGTTGGGGCCTCCTGCTCTCTGCTGGGTGCCCCTCGACATCCAGCAGTCACCCACATTCTCACTGAATGGCCTGGGTTAAAGACGTGTCCGCTCCGTAGTCTAGCCAGAATTGGTTTCAGAATTCACTGGTTTTCCCCAGCCTCTAGACGTCCTAGAAAAGCGAAATGAAGGGAGGTGCCTGACCCAGACCTCCTTCCTGCTTGTAGATCAAAGGGTCATGGTCCAGCAAGAGGGGCGGTGAGGCCTCCGTCAATCCCTACAGCCATAAAAGTATTATCACCAACTGCTGTGCTGTGCTCTGTGGCCCCCTACCTCCCAGGTAAGCCAGAGGGGTGCAGGGGGGAGGTCACAGGGCCTGGCCTGGCCAGTGGGAGTGAGTCCACACCTCTCAAAGAGGTTCTGGAATCAGCAGGCCTCTCCCCACACCACAGATGCCCTCTGTCCACCATCCCCTGCTGAACGCACTAAGGGCATTTGTCATGTAAAGGAATTATGTGGAGAGTTGTAATTTTTTTTTTTTTTTTTTGTGAGGCGATCAGCCCTGTGCTGACATCTGCAAATCCTCCCCCCCCCTTTTTTTTTTTTGCTGAGGAAGACTGGCCCTGGGCTAACATCCATGCCCATCTTCCTCCTCTTTATATGGGACGCCGCCACAGGATGGCTTGCCAAGCAGTGCGTCGGTGCGCGGCTGGGATCCGAACCGGCGAACCCCAGGCCGCCGCAGTGGAGCGCGCGCACTTAACCGCTTGTGCCACCAGGCCGGCCCCGAGTTGTAAATTTTAATTACGTGAATCGCACGTGCTCATTGTAGAAAAAATTAAGTATAAAATATAAAAAAGAAGACTATTAGATATCACATGTAATCTTACTCCCAGGGATAACCACAATTAATGTTTTGGCCATGCTTGTACAACGCTGCCCTTCTGGTGCTGATGGGGGGGCTGGATGGGGCCTCCCTCTTCCCTCCTGGCTGAAGAGAACCCTGGTGGCTCAGCCCTGCTGGGGAGCGCTCCATCCATCCCGACACCAGGGGGCGCCAGAGCGCAAGAACAGGAGTTAAATTGCGGTGGACACTGCGGGCGAACTAGACTTCCCCACACTGTCCCCCGCTCCTTCCGCCCAATATGCCTGTCACAGGTGGGATGGGGGGACTGATAGTTGGGACAATAGGAATCGCACTATCTCCAAATGCCCTTTCATGCTTGCTTTCCCCCTTACCCACAGCCTGGCTTCTTGGCAGCCAGACAGAAAGGTGGCCCAGTTTGAATTAACAGTGAATAAATTCTGTGACCAAAAGCCAGGTGTCCAGGGTGCAGAGTGGGCCTTTCCGGAAGAGAGGGGTCTTGAGTCCCCAACTGGAGAGCAACTCCCCTTTCCTCAGCCTTTCTAGGGCTGGGTCTTTCCTTGGCTGGGAGGTGGACTGTGTCATCCAGCCCCTGGCCTGGAGCTCTGGAGTCGGGCAGGGCCCTCATGTGTCCCCTTATGTTTTGGAAGCCTGATTGACCGGAGGGGGTTTGTGCAGTCCGACACCGTGTTGCCCTCGCCCATCAGAAGTGACGAGCCAGCCTGCGGAGCCAAGCCCGATGCCAGCATGGTAGGAGGCCACCCCTGAAAGGGCTCAGTACTTGCCACCTGCTGGCCTGTCAGCCCCTCCGCACTCACCTGCCACCCTCCACACCTGCTGGGACCCTCCCCATTCCACCCGAGGGAAGCAGAGCTGCCAAAGACTCAAGTCTTTTCGTATTTATTTCCCACCCTGCGTGGCTTTCCCCACACTGTTCCATGGCTGTACCCTCTGCTCCCCAAACCTTGGGCCCTACATACCCCCAGCTGATCAGTGGCAGGAGTGACAGCATAGAGAGGCCAGGGCCCCTGAGGCTACCAAGGGGACCATGCCAAGCCTCTGCCTGTGCCAGGGCAAGCCCCGTGTGAGTGAGGGTGCGGACTGAGTGCAACGCCTCCCGGTTGGGGGAGCCGCTGGGCCCTGCTGAGCCAGGGGCCTGGGTGAAGCAGCACCAGTGAGCAGTCTGCTCAGACAGCGGGCTGTAGGAGAGGACGCCTCTGTGGGCTGCTGTGATTTGTGGACTCCATTCTTTTTGTAATGATCATTGATCTTCTGTTTTTGTTTTTCTTTTTTTTTTGTACGGACTTGGCCAATAGGATAGAGCTGGGATTCCAGGTAGAGAGGGCAGAGTTGGGAGTGCATGGGGAGCAGCCTGTGTCAGAGGAAGCCAAACCAGCCAGCCAGGCACCCAAGACCTCACTCCTGCATGATTCCTGGGCAGCACACTGGGAAGTGGGGGCCTTGCCCTCTCTCTGCCCATGGAGGGTTTTCTAAGGGACCCCAGCCAAGCCCCCCCACCTCTCTCTCAAGTCAGGTCTGGGGATGGGCGGGTTATACTCATGCTGGCAATACTTGAAACGGGTTTATTAATGCTGGGTATTTTGCACAATTTTATAGACCTCTTTTCTACATAGCATTTTTAAAATGAAAGAAGAAGGGAAAAAAAAGTCAGCCACATTGCTGTCCGTGTAGTGCCAGGTTAAGGGTTATCAGGAGGCAAGTTGGTTTTCAGAAGTTTATTACGAGAGACCTTCTGGCTGTGAGTGAGTGAGTGTGTGTGTGTCATGTGTGCCCCTGTATGAATGTGGCTGGCTCCCACTTCCCCACATCTCCCTCGGGTGTCAGCCGGCAGCAGCAGGAGCAGCCTGAGCCATGGGGACAGGGAGTGTGTGGATTGGTCACAAGAGACCCCTGGGCTCCCGCTGCGGCTCAGCCCCCATCCTCCTATCTTTTCCTCCTCCCCGGAATTCAGACAACCAGTGGCTGGGGACTCAGCCACACCCCACCCCACCCCCTGCCACCTAGCCCCCAGGTCAGGCTTCCAGCTGGGACCTGCCCAGGCAGGCTGAGACCAGGTGTGGTGGATAGGGTAATGGCTTTGGGGAGCTGCTACCATCCTACAAGCCACACCCCCTCCTCCAAGCTCTGAGCATGGGACCCAGTGATGGGGGCTAGAGGACAAGGAGTCTCTGCCAACTGGGGGCCTCCATCCAGAGACAAGGAAGGAAGGAAGGAGCAGGTGGGCCAAGCAGCGAGTGAAGGTTGGCCTAAATCTGGGCCAGAAGCTCAGAGGATGTCCCTCCTCTGCTGGGAGCTATAGTTTCTTACACAAATAGATAGGAAATTGTCCCTCTCTCCTCCTTCTTTGACCCTCCAAGTGGGCTGAATCAGCCCTTGGAAAGTGACGTAGGAAGTCCCCACATCTTGCCCTTCCTTGCTCCCGAGGTTAGTGGGTCACAGGCAGCTGAGAAGTGGCAGCGACAGAGGATTCCCTCTGGGAGAAACGGCTTCGCCCCAGCCTCAGGGCATGGGCCATACTGCAGGGGCCCTGGAGGTGGGGAGGAAGCCGGCTAGAGGAGGGGACTCCCACCTGCCTTTTATTTAAGCCAGTATTCTTTGTTCCTGCTTGTAATAAAACTTTTGTTTTTAAGAGTTGATTTGCTTTGGTTTGGCTTTTGTTTGCTCTTCCTTTGCTGAGGCCCCAGCCAGCAGCCCTCTCTTCGTTCAGCAAAACATGGGCTTTCCGGGGAGACAGAGAGAAGGCAGGCAGCCCCTGGATCTGGCCGAAGGTCTCCTCTCCTGGCTGGAGTCTGTCTGCTAGAGGCAGAGCAGAGGGGGCTGTGGCTAGGTCCCCATAGGCATATAAGAAGGCCATCCTGTCCCCTCTTTGTCCCCTCTACTTCCCCCTGCCTCGTGGGCTTGGAAACCCCCAAGCTCTTCTTCCTTGCTGTCTTTCCTGTCTGACCCCCAGTGACTGCTCAGCTAGGAAAATGTTTATGAAACACTAGATTCCGGTTTGAGAGCCAGAGCCTCCCTGGCCCCCACCCCCGCCTGGACAGCAGGGCCCAGCCAGACAACGCATAACACTGGCCCACCTCTCTGGTATCTCCCCCAGGAGGACACCTGTCAGGATTTTGCCATCTCCTGCACAGCCTGAGGGGAGCTAACAGGCCTCTTTGCAGAGGGTTAGCTGGTAAGACCGTATCTCCCCTGTCGGCCAGCACTGCCCCCTCCCCTCACACACCATCTCATCCTCATCGCATGCCTCGCCCACCCTGTGGAGCCCATTCATCTGTCTGGTGCGTGGTGTGGTGTGTGTGCTGGGGGTGGTAGGCCCCCAGGGCTCCCCCGTAAGCAGAAGGATGGGGTGTGGGGGCAGGGCTAAGAGCCCAGCCTTGCTCTGGACTGAGGAAGTAGCTTCTCGCAGAGCAGCTCTCCAGCTGGAGCAGGAGGTGAAGGGTGAGGTTGGGGAGAGGATGGCGTCCCTGCTCCGAGGTGCGTGGGCCTGTTCTGGTGGTGTCCTGTGTGCAGGGGCCCTCGATGACTAACGCTTATGTCCCGGCTCTCGGTCCCTGCTGAGCTTCCTCTCACCTGCCCGTTTTCTCTTTTGCTTCGTTGCCTGCTGCCTGAGCCTTGGCCCTGCTGTGGGGAAGAAGCAGATCTGTGGCAGCACCTGTCCCAGGCGGCACCCCTGCAGGCCTGCTGTCTCCTCCCACTCCCGCTAACCCTCTCTCTTCTCCTTCTTTGCTGTCCTGCCCGGGATCTCCAGTGTGTGCGGGGGCTTAAGGACCTCCTGAGGACCGCTGTTCTCTGCCTTTCCAGGAGTGGCCTGGGGGGAGCCAGGCACCCGGCACCTCCACCTGCCTAACCTGTGGCCCATCTGCCACCGTCTGTGCCTCCAGGGTCTGCCCCCAAGCCTGCCCCATACGTGTGCTCTCTAGGGCACCCCCACAGGGGGCAAGGGCTGGCCTCTCTGCCCCACCCCTCCACGCTGGCCAGAGTGTAGAAAGCCATAACGCAGCTGTCAGCACAATGATGTAATACCATGCTGAAATCCGCCCTCCCCTCCTTCACTTTATTTCCCCTTCCCCAGATTTGTAAGGTGTCAAGAGTCTTTAGGAATCTTGCCTTACAGCCTGCCCCCCCAGAATCAGGCATAGCCACAGTCGAGCTGAGCAGGTTTCTTCAGGAGCCGTCTGGGGTGTTGATGGTTGATGACGCTGCTGAACAAGTTTGGTGACTGTTCTAAGCACAACTGGTTTGACGCTGTTCCCACGGTCCCTTCCCCCCTCACCCGGAGTAGGTAGGACGTGAGGAGGATGCTTGTACTCTGTGCTCCGAGCACTGAGGGAGCTCTGACAGCCCTGTGTTCTTCAGAGGAACTAAAGGAAACCGGGTCGGGCCTAGGAACCTCCACTGAGCCCACGACTGGGGGTGCTTGTCTGCTGTCCTGTACCTTTTTTAACCAAAATAAAGATTTCCCTCTTCTTGCCATACCCTTGGCTGTCTGGTGCCACCTTTACTTTGGGCCCAGGGGTGAGGCCTGTGATGAGGGTGCAGGAGAACATCTGGCTCACCCTCACTGCCAGCTTTGTTCCAGCTGGTCAGTGCTGTTCTGGAGATTTAAAAAAAAGATGCATGACAAAGCCAGAGGTGACACAGGAGGAGTGGCCAGCGTCCTCTTCACTCTGCCCCTCCAGAACTGGTCTCAGTTCCAGAGACCTTCAGGCCTTAGCTGACCTCTGAACTCTCTCAGGTCCCAGCCCAGGCTGGGAGAGAGGGTTTAACTCCAGGCTAGGACTGTCACACCCCTGAACTGAGCCCAGCCCAGGGTAACAATCTCATGGAACCTTCCCTCTCCCCGGCTGCCACCGCACATGGAGATACGCAGAGTGCTAAGAGCTAAAAAATCATCATAGTGGCCATTTAGCAAGGTCTGGCCAAGTGCCAGGCCATTTTCTCACCTAAACCTGTGAGGAAGGTGATGTCAGCCTTTTTACAGATGAGGGAACTGAGGCTCAAGGAGGGCGCAGGAATTGCTCCAGGTCTCCCAGCCGAGAGAGCAGCAGGATTTGAACCTGATCTCTGCCCTGACCTCTGACCCTTCTGCATTACCCAAGGAATGAATACAGCTGCTTCAGGACGAGGGGCTCTCAGAGGGAGAAACCCTAAGGTTAAGAGAATGTCCTTCATAGGTAGCAGGGGCTTAGACAAGATCTGTGCTAGCCTCCTTGTTGTAGTGATGGGAAACTGAGGCCCAGAAGCAGGAAGGGACCTGCCCAAGGCCTGATAACAGAGCTGCGATGCAGTCTCAGCCTGACATTCCATTCTCTTTCCAAAAATTCCACAATATGTCCTAGACCAGACTGGTCTATGAGATGTAGGATACTCAAAACAGCAGTGCCTTGAGGGGAATAAGACTCAGGATAGCTGAATCACTTAAAAGTAGTCTAATATCCCCTCCCAAAGGTAATTAGTAGAGTGAGCTCTTAGCTGGATAATTAAACCCTTGTTCACAACTAACCAGGGGGAGAAGGTGCCATAGCTTCCTCCAGTCACCTGTTTAATTTGATCATTCCAAGACTGAAAAATTTCCTAGGAAGTTCTTTCTGGAATCTAACCAGAGTCCCTGCTGCTGCAGTCAGAGCCCTGTCCTCTGTTCTCAGGGGAGATAGATAGCAACTGGTTGCTGTCTTCTCTGTGCCACAACCATTCTAAGCCTGTTATTACCAGTCAAGAAGGATTGGTTGGGGGCCGGCCCAGTGGCATAGCAGTTAAGTTCCTGCATTCCGCTTTGGTGGCCTGGGGTTCCCTGGTTCTGATCCTGGGCGTGGACCTACTCACTGCTCATCAAGCCATGTTGAGGCGGTGTCCCATATAGAAGAGCTACAACTCCACAACTATGATATACAACTATGTACTGGGGCTTTGGGGAGAAAAAAAGAAAAAGAGGAAGATTGGCAACAGATGGTAGCACAGGGCCAATCGTCCTCAAAAAAAAAAAAAAAAAAAGACAGATTGGTTGTCTATGGGACCAGAGGCCTTGAGCTTCCTGGTAGGATGGATGTTATACAGAAGGGTAGGGAGGTCGCAGGCAGGATAAGGAAAGCCCCTGTGGGCTGCAGCCCCAGCTCCTGTCCTGCTGACTCAGGCAGCTGACTCTGGAACTCTGTGCCCTGCCAGGGCCTGCTGCCTCCTGCCTGCCTGGTCTCCTGGGCTTGGGAAATGGAGGCCTGGAGGCAAAGGGAGGTGCCTGAGACAGGAACTGAGTCAGGATCGACAGGCCAGAGCTGGTAGGAGGTGTCAGGCAGCCTGGCTCCCAGATTCACCCCTGAGCTTCTGCAGGGGAGAGGGCGGAGGGAAGGGGCTTCTTTTCTGTTGCTCAGGGCTGTGCTGAGGGCATGGAGCTCGTGGCGTGAACTACCACCAGGTCTCCTGCCTTGAGTGGTAGGAAGAGAATGCAACCTAGAGACAGAAGCAACTCCAAAATTCCTGGGTCTGCCAGACCCTGCCCTCTAGGTTTCTGGTATCCTGGGATCTCCAGCTTTCTCCCAGGACTTGGGAAAGCCTGGGCTGGGTGACTAGTACAAAGGAAGGTCCTTGAGGGCCCTGGGCCTGCATAGGTCAGAGGAATGTCTGAGACAGACAGGGAGGAGACAGTGCTGAGTGAGCGCATCTGACTGTTCATTCATCTTCTCGCCCCTGTGGAAACCCAGCTGGGCAGGGTCTGGGCTTTGGCTGAGGCCTACCCAGCTCCATGTTAGTGCTCTGAGTGCATGTGTTTAAACCAGTAAAGTTGGTTGGATTTTTTTCACATGATAATAATAGTTCCCATCCACTCTAAGTGCTTTCCATCAACTTATTTAATCCTCACAACAAGCCCTATTTTACACTTAAGAAAACTGAGACTCACAGAGCTTAAGTCACTTGGCCAAGGCCACAAGAACTTGTAAGAATTGAACCCAGGCAATCTGACTCCAAAGATACTTGGCTATTTTGTCTCTCAGAAAAATAATACATATTCACCCTTGATAACTTGAAGAGAATAGGAAAATCAAAAGGAAAAAAAAATCATAGTCTCACTACGTGGAAATATGCTCTGTGAGTTGGTTATTTTAGTGTACTTCCTTTCCATCATTTTCTGTGACAGTGATCTGATTTGAGCAAAGCCTTTGGGGTGTCAAGCCTAAAATCCCTTCTGCTTCCTTGGAAAAGCTGTAGCATCAGCCCAGAAATGTCCCTACTTTTCCTTCAAAGAGGCAGATCTCATCTTTGGGCCTGAGTTCTGGCCTAAGCCTCCCTCCAGGAGGGGAGGGTGGGTGTTCAGACACCAAGAGCAACCCAGGGAGGGACAGGCCTGTGAAATGGTCCTGGCTCCAGGATTAAGCTGGCTGGATCCAGTGAGGTGAGCCCCACCCCTGAGCCCCATCTGAGCTTTGGCTAGGGGTGGGGCAGATAAGCAGGAACCCACTCTCATAGGTGCAGTACCACCACCTTCGGGTGAAACTCCGCTGACAGGAGGACAGCGCCCCAGCGATCAGGGACAGATGGTTGGCAACAGAGAAGTTTCCATCTCTGAGGCCTCTGCCAGGGGTCAGAGGTGGGGTCATGGTCAAAGGGAAGGGACAGGGAAACTTCTGAGAGGCAGGCCGTAGGAGACAGCACTCAGCTGGGACTGCTGCCCCATAAAACAAAATGGTATGTGTCACCGCCACCTCCTTTTCCTCAGTCCTGTCTTTCTCCTCAGGTTGCTCGTGTCCCCCCTGGGGAACCAAACTGGGCTGAGCACCCAGGTGGCCTGCTTTCAGCCTCTGACAGAGGGCCGGCTGAGTCAGGCAGGAAAGTGGGACAGCCAGCAAGCCGGGCCCCCACCCTCTGTGAGCCCCACTGATACATGATGGCAGGCAGCTTGAAGCGGGCAGGTGACCAGGCGTGGAGAGCTAGAGGATAAGTCCTCAAACAAGTGGCAACAGGCCACCAACTTGAAAGGGAAAATTGTGCTGCGATGGGGAAGGTGTCCAACAAACCTACTGGGTGACTAATTACAAAGGCTGGGCTGGAGCGTCAGAGGCCGCTCATTAAACTCCTCATTAAGTGGCACCCAGAAGCTGCCACCTGCGCAGTCTGGGAGCTCAGAAGGGACAGGACCCTGAGGGGGAGTGAGGACTGGGGGATGGAACCATTTTAGGTAGACTCTGAAGAAGCTTGGATTTCACTTCTAAATCCAGCCTGGAGCTCACAAATCAGAGACCTCGATGGGAGAGAGGCCAAAGGAAGTAGGATGCAGGGGAACTTTAGCTGTATGACCTTGAGCAAATCTCATCCCTCTCTGAGCCTTAGTATTCCCATCTCTAAAGTGGGGGTAGTAGCCACAGTCCAGCCCACCTCACAGGGATGTAGTAGGGATTAAATTAGACCATGGATACGAAAGTGCTTGGGAAACTGTACAGCCCTGCCTAAACATAAATTAGCTCACCTGGACCAAGCAGGGAAACGTACATGGCAAGATTAGGAACCCATCCTCCTGCACCTGGCTTTATGGGCTCTGCCTAGGCTGAAGCAGCCAGGTGGCTGAAGCCATCCTTAGCCCCTGGAAGGACACCGTGAAGGAGGATCTGATTTGAGAAACTGGCGCAGCTGCCTAACGTGGGCACCCATGTAATAGAAGCCCTGAACAAGAGGGGGCAGCCTGGAGCCTGGAAAGGTGCCTGTGCAGGTGGGGCCAACGCCCAGATTTCTCCTGCTGACTGTCCTGATGACTCACCCCCACATCCCAGCCCTTTTACCTTTAAGGAAGAGCCGGAAAGGGTGTGGGGAGAAGAGGCGAGGGAGGCAGGTCCTGGGCCCCAGTCCCGCCCTCTGCCCCTCCCCACCCTTCTGTGGGCCAGGCCATCCAGCCAAAAGGCAGGCAGAGAGCAAGAGAGGCACAGAGTCCGGCATTGGTCCCGAGGCAGCCAGTTAGCCCGCCACCTGTCTGTCTGTCCCCAGAGCCATGCAGAGAGCCAGTCTGATCCAGAAGGCCAAGTTGGCAGAGCAGGCCGAACGCTATGAGGACATGGCAGCCTTCATGAAGAGCGCCGTGGAAAAGGGTGAGGAGCTATCCTGCGAAGAGCGAAACCTGCTCTCAGTGGCCTACAAGAATGTGGTGGGTGGCCAGAGGGCTGCCTGGAGAGTCCTGTCCAGTATCGAGCAGAAAGGCAATGAGGAGGGCTCGGAAGAGAAGGGCCCGGAGGTGCGAGAGTACCGGGAGAAGGTGGAGACCGAGCTCCGGGGCGTGTGTGACACCGTGCTGAGCCTGCTGGACACCCACCTCATCAAGAAGGCCGGTGATGCTGAAAGCCGGGTCTTCTACCTGAAAATGAAGGGCGACTACTACCGCTACCTGGCCGAGGTGGCCACCGGTGACAACAAGAAGCGCATCATTGACTCAGCCCGGTCGGCCTACCAGGAGGCCATGGACATCAGTAAGAAGGAGATGCCGCCCACCAACCCCATC